TGTTAGCTCAGGGCCAATCCTCCCTAAAAAAAAAATTCAAAATGATTCCTCTACTGAGGAAGACCTTGTCATGACATCCATTACAAAGCAGAGGTAAAATTACACCTGTGCTGTAGCAAACGTTGTTGGAGGGAGGGAGGAGTGTCTCTGAGCCAGCACTTAGGATTGTTGTTTCTATTGCTCTTGGTTTTGCTGACTTACAGCTGACCTCTGTGACCTTGGTATTTATGTCTTTTCCAATTTTCACTTTATAGGAGACTTTTTGATACAGAAATGGTCTCTCCATTTTGGAATTTAAAAAAAAAAGGCCAGTTCCTGAGTGCACATTGCTACCAATGTTGCTGTGAGAATAAATAACTTGAATCAAAATATAGGGGTACTTACCAGTAGCCACAAACCAAAGAATTCTAAAAATTCCATCTTTTCTTGCCATTGTTCCAACTTGTCATCCTAGGGTAGGAGGGTGCTGGGATTGCCTCTGCCTATGATTTCTGTGTTCCTTTTCGTTTTTCTGGTGCTTTTCCTCATTACAGAAAATATCTGATTGAATACTTGTTGGCTCTTATTCTCGTTCAAATGGAGGTTGGGTGTTGGCTGCAACTTCCCATTGCACGCAGTGCGGTGCACGGTGTGCAAGGCCGCAGCCCCTGTGCGGGTGGAGTCAGATGGCTGCGCTGGTGGGGAAACTGGGAGAGGAAGGACAAGGGGCCCCAGGGTTTGCTGCCGCTTCTCAGAGGGCTCCTCATCTCTGAGTTTGTCCTGCAGCTTAGTGGTTTCCTTTGTCCAGGCCAGTTGGAAGCATCTCACGACTCTCTTCTTGTTTGTTTGGATTCGGGTTTCATTGGGAGACATGTCAAAGCTTTTTATTTTTTCTGAACGGTTGCATGTGTGAGTTTCAGAGTTTTACTGTCAGAATTGTCGTGCAGCCTGAGCCAAGGTCGTTGGGTTCTATTGGCTTTCCATTTCTCTCATGCCAATTAGAGGGAGTTCAGCAGGCAATTTCTTGTTTTTAGAAGCAGTTAGTTGTTTGTCAGAGTTCTGATCATGCCTGGAGGAAGGTCTCCTAAGGCGGCCCCAGAAAACTGTTATAATCAAAGGAATTTGGAAACAGGGGTTCTGTCGCTAGACTCAATCACGGAAGGTTCCGAATCAGAGTCTTCCCTTTCCATTGGTTTGGATTCGTGCAAACACAATACTTACATTACTCTGCTTTTCCGATGTTTCTAATGAGGATATTTTGTCTCTGATATGAACAGAAGAATATTAAGTGTGGGCCCTTGTGTTATATTGAGTTCTTACAGGAGTCATGATACTCTTTAGGCTGTTTCTTTTGCCTGTGCTTGGGTTTCATGAGCCTTCCTGCTTCTTGATCTGACCTTTTCAGAACCACATTAAACTGTCAGTTTCTAGCGCTCATTTGGAACATTTTCAGAATAAGCATATGGGTTTTATAGTAAGTCTTTATAACACCATTTTGACTCATTGGTACCTTTTTCTCATCATAATATTATTTGCATTATATTGAATCCTGGATATTTTGCTGGGCCAGCATGAGATTAGGATGTAATATAGAGAACGTGTTTTAAAACCATTTGTGTAGAAATGAGAACCTGGATGAATGCCATCACAGTCTTGCTGTTGACTGGCAGGATATAGAATGTGTGCTACCAGCATGGAACATGATTGGAAATGATTTAGTAGGAAGAATAAAATATCTTTACTGAAATCCAGGCAAAGGAATACTTTTCATAACAGTTTTCTAGAACTTGAGCAAAGAGCATGAATATTTATGTACGTTCTTAGGGAATACATAAACTTATTTAATTTGGGCTCTCCAAAAGTAATTTAATAGAATATATGAAACAGACAATTCCCTATAATTAAGGACCTAGTCCAATGCAATTGTGATTTCTCTTCCAGTTCTTTGAAAACAACTCTGGAATGCTAATTGCCGGAGATCTGTCAGGAGCAAGGAGAACACAGATTTGATTTGGTTTCAGTTCATTCGTGCTCCACCCAATGCTGGATTCAGGCAATGGAAGGTCTGGCTGAAGACTGGATGGGGGTCAGGTCAGAGCCACCCAAATGTTGTGTGGTTAGTGGAACTCAATAAAGATCATTAAGGACCCCCGCCAACAGCTGATCCATTTAGCACCCTCTCTTGCACAGTGATTTATAATTTATAAAATGCTTTCACATCCATTTCCCCTTTTGAGCCTCATAAAACTTTTTTGTCTAAGTAAGGCAGATAAAAATATTCCAGTTTTGTAGGTGGGGGAATTCGGGCTCAGAGAGACCAAGGAACTTGCCCCAAGTTACAAGATAGTAAGTGGTTCTAGGGCTCAATTACCGTTCTTGGGACTTACGTCCAGTGCTCGGCTTCGGGAGGATACGAGTAAGATAAGTCAGGGAATGTGTCTGCAAATTATGGAAACCCCTTCATTTTTGGTCTGTGCCTAAAAACAGACTGAAGTGCTCTGGGCCATCCTAATTCCTGAAGTATCCAGATGCTCAAAATTCTCTTTAGTGCTGCCTACCAGTGTGGCCACTTATGCTTTTGTCTGAGGGGTTGGAAAAATCTTTCAATATTCCAGGCCATTAGTAACACCAGGGGTGCTAGGAAAAGCATATGGCGGCTTTCAGTTGAAGAGCACGCTTCTTCTCAGGTGAAAATGGCCCCGGTTGTGTTTGACTTTAATGCGGAATGTGGCTTGTTTCTTGGTTAAGGGGACACGTGGGGAAGAGAGAACCTTTGGCGTGGCAAGCGTCCTGTAAGCACTTTCCTCTTCCTGCCCTGCCTCTCCTCTTATGAACGCCTCTCCGGAAATTCTGGGCATGAGACAAGAAGGGTCGCCTGACAGATGCTGCTGTGGAGTCAGCACTGCCCCTGACCCAGCACAGCACGGCCCCAGGGCCCCGAAATCTTGATGGGTGCTGCCTCAGCCTTTGAAGGCGACGACCGTCCTGCTGTGATCTTGGCTCCTTCCGGCGACCCGGCTCTGCCTTCCCCGCCTCAGTGCTGCTCCGCGCAGCCTGGGGGGGGGGGGTGGGGGGTGTCTCCTGAAGCCCAACGATGCCTCAAAGGAGTCTCATCTTTGCCCTTGTTGTCAGCTGGAGCTTTCCTCCAGTGGGCCGTCTCACAGAACTAGGAGATCCGCAGCCTTGCGACCCAATATGAAAGGGAGATTTCCCAGGAAGGCTAATGAAGGAAAGGGAGCCAGGAAAGAAAGAAAAAATGCCTCAACGTGACCTCAGAGCGAAAGCAACCAGTTGATAATTCTGTGGTCGCATAGATGTTTTTGGTCATAGAAATTTAAAGGAGAATATTGTTCAGTTTATAAATGTCTGGGTATATATATATGTATATATATTTTCTTTCTTTTTTTTTTACAGAAAAGATCTTTATGAATTTTTAAAATCCTTCTCTATTTTTTTTAAAGATTGGCACCTGAGCTAACATCTGTTGCCAATCTTTTTTTCTTTTTACTTCTTCTTCTTCTCCCCAAAGCCCCCCAGTACATAGTTGTATATTCTAGTTGTGGCATGTGGGACACCGCCCCAGCATGGCCTGATGAGCAGTGCCATGTCCGCCCCCAGGATCCAAACCAGCGAAACCCTGGGCTGTGGAAGTGGAGTGCACAAACTTAACCACTTGGCCACGGGACCAGCCCCCAAAATCCTTCTCTTTTAGTAATTTGATCATCAGTCAGTAGTCCAGAAAGTTAAAATATATGTGACAGCAAAAGTAATTGCATTATTTTCTTGGGGCATCCAATGTTCTTTGCCTCTTTCTTGTCTGCTAAGTGCGAAGCTCTGGGCACTTTGCCGGGTGGGGGTTTCGGGGAGGGAATATATGTGCTGACTCTTACCCTCAAGAATCTAAATTAAAGGAAGAGAAGAATAGCACACTTAAAGTGGATTGGGGCTAAATTACATGCTAAGATTGACATTTTGCAGACCACAGAGAAGGGAGATAGGGTTCTGTGAAAAGGACCAGCCTTTCTTGAGCTCTAATAAAGTTGATGAAGTTGACCAGAGATGGCCATTTTCCTTGTTCCCTTGAGTCTTGAACACTCTCTTATTTTTCTTCTACTTCCATCAAGAATTATTTTCAAATAAGGGCAATTATTTGGGGTATCTGAAATGTAAGGTAGAGAGGCTCCTGCCCCTTCAGCTGGATAGTTGTCCTGAATGCCACACAGCTGAAGGGAGGGCTCTGACAGGTCAGGCTGGCTGATCACAGGTGAGGGGAGAACAGCTTGGACCCATGTTTCACTGAGTTCTTTGCAGAACTCATGCTGGGAGTCTCAGAGTCAGCTAGAAGCCCCAGGTATAATAACTGAAGACATCTGGCCACATAACATAGAGACCCTTAGAAAAGCCGAGCCTTTCCCCATTAGCCTCTTGCTTGCTTTTATCAGCTGTCTTCAGTGCACACACAGGTATCCTGGCAGTTGAGTAGGACATCTTAAAGCTTTGGTGGCTCCCTGTTCCCTTCAGGCAATAGTTTGACAAAGTTTCTGTTTATTTGTTTTTTTTCGTAAACATATCAAAGGTGAGAAACCACTTGAATCACTAAGGAAACTGACTTAGCACAATCGGAAATTACTACAATGATCTCTCTCTCTGGACGCTTCATTCTGTCCCCAGAGTGATTAATTAGTTGTTGTAGACTTGATGAATGTTAGAAAGATGGCTGTTATTTTTAGAACTTAAGGGTTTGTTTTTTGGTAAACAAAAAAGCCCATGACTTCCCTCAAGTGAGAAAATGATAGAAAATTGGAATTGTCTTTCATTTCTTAATTCTTTGACTTGTGCAAGATACGTTTCAGACTCGACAACAAAGGCAACTAGAGTTACCTTTCTCTTTGTGTGTGTCACTTTCTCTTTGTGGTGTCACATACGCCCCAAAACTTCATCATGAGGAAAGAAAAGAAACTGGTCAAATATCTGCATACAGAAATTTCAAAGACAATTTTTTATTTTTTTCTTTGGATTAGGGTGCTGCGCACTGTGCCTGGTACATAAATAAGAAGAATACTTTCAATCAATGACTTTGTTGCCACCTTCACCTGCCCAGAGGAGAGGAGGACTTCCTGAGTGCAAACATATTTTGTGGGGCCTTTGTTGAAAAAAAAAAAAAAACAATGGAAAGAATGGAATACTTGGAAAACACATATTTTAAACGGTTGGACAAAGATAGCTGGTGCATTTTTTTCTTCCTGCCAAGCCGTTTCCATTTAGGATTCAACAAAACCACAGTTCGACATTGGATTTAGAACCAAATTTTCAAAGAAACACATTGCCGGGGAACATGCGCGGGATTCCCACTGATAATCGCATAAAACACGAAAGGATGGAATCTGACTGCCCAGTATGGTTTCTCCTTCTGGCATATCAGGTAACCAGCTCACAGTGTCTCTTCCTACATTGCAAACACGTTACTAGATTGTAAGCTACTTGTGGATAGGTGCTTGATTGATTTCTCTTTTTATCTTTCATGCAATTCAGTAAATAGCATGCTCAACAGATACTCGGTAATCATCAGTAACACACTATATTTAAGACTACAGTTTCAGTAGGACTGCTGTGGTCCACGTTGGTCGGGTCTGCTAAGAAGCAGATCTGCCAAAAAGTAGACACCAAGACAATTAAACTAGCAAGAAAACTTTAGGGGAAATGTCTGAGAGCAAAAGTGTGGAGGAGGCTAGGAAAGGCTGGGAGAGACGTCAGACTATAATGCAGGTCTGCCCCAAAATGAGGGAGAGAGGGAAGGAAGGAAGGAAGCTTGGGGGGAAACATTTTAGACTGAAGTGCAGCCCTAGGAGAAGTTGGGTGAGGCCGCTGGGGAGTCTTCAAGCCAAAGTTGCTTATCAAATGAATCCCAGATCTCCCAGGAAAGGGTCTGACTTGGTGTCCCTGTTGCACTCGGTCATTGGTTGGAATTTGCTGGTGAAGTGTGTGACCTCAGAACAAAGGCAGTGATGAGATTTCAGAGTGCGGCCCTCGGGGCTCTTAGGCAGTCACCTCCCTGCAGAGGGAGATCTGAGAGAGGCATATTCTTATGGCCACCACATAGTCCTTGGTCAAAATTTGTGCATTGTGCCAGTGACAAGGGAAGTGTTCTTCTTGGATAAGATCTATTGGTGCCTGTGAAGATTAACTGAGATAATGTATAGAAAGGACTTAGTATGGCACATAGCACATAGTGATTGAATAATAAGAGGCAGCTCTTTTCTTATTGTCATTAATGATGTTAACTGCTCAGCTGTAGTTTACTGAACCTCATTATGTAGTAAGCACAGTGATGGGTAGTTTAGATGCAATGGGGCATACTAGAAAGAACACTAGCTTTGGTGTCAGACAGAATGGAGTTTAAAACCAGGATGTAGCACATACCAGCTGTGTGACCACATTGGGCAAGGTATTGAGAGTCTCTGAGCCTCGGTTTCCACATCTATGAGAGAGAAAATGCTCACGAGAGAGTGATAAAGGGATTAAATGAAATACAGTACTAGTGCCTGGTACATACCAGGAAGGCCATACATGGTTCTTGTTATCGTTTCTAATCATCACAGGAACCCAGCAGAATTCTCAGCCCTGAGAGACCATGTGTATGGCCTGCATCACCAGGGCTCTCCAAGCTCTCAGGCTCTCTTTTGGGTTTGGCCAAAGGGAAGCCCTTGCAGGAAGTTGTGGGGAGGGGTGACAGTGGGCTCAGGATTGAGAAGTATTCCCTTGGCCCTTTCCTGTGAGACCTGGCTGTGTCCCTCTACCCAAAGTCACTATTTTTCACAAGATAGACTCCACCCAACTCTCCTTCTGGATGCTGGTGACTGCTTCCTCCCCTTTCTCTTCAGCTGTCGCTGTGTCCAGATTCTGTGGGTCACATCCCTGAGATGCAGCCTCCCTCTGAGTTATCCTACTTGCAGTTAGGTCCTCCCTTTCTTGTTGGGGCTGCCAATGGATTTTAGTCCCTGGTCCCTCAATCCCACATCCTGTCTCCCTGAAATATATGAGCATTAGATGTTATTTCAGTTAAAAGTGTTAACCTTTTAAATAGAGAAGAAGAAAGATAAAAGGGCTGGTGAAGTGGTCCTATATTTGGAATTTGGCATCAAGTTAATTGGTTTGGTTTAAGAAAAAACATGCTCTTTCAAAGAAAATGGTATTTATAAACAACCATGCTAAGACCTAGGGAGAGGAGTGTGGACAAGAAACCCCACCCCTGACTGCTGAAGCCGTGGGTGATTCACTCCAAATGTAGGCAAATGTCTGACTGGGACCATCCTGGCTGTCACAATACTGGCCAAGAAAATCCTGTCTCTGGGGGGAGATTTCGTTTTTTGGTTCTTGGAAAGGGCTGCGTTAAAATTCTTGGTGAAGGCATGAGCGTATTGGGGCAGACGGTTTTGTCTTTGGTGTGTGCTTGGATTCTGCCTGGAATGATCTTAAGGCTGATGTCAAGGACATTGCGGGGCAAGGTCAGAGGGCTTCTACTGAGCCCTTAGGGCGTGGTGGGCGGACAGCGGAAGCCCGGTGCCCAGGAAAGGTTTTCCTGTTTTTCTAGCTGGTATGAAGCCTAGCTGCCCTAGAATAAAATAGCTTGAAATTGATGGCCCCAGGTAGAAAAACGTCATTAAAGAATGGAAAGTCAGACACCGTCAGTGTGAATGTGAAAGGTCCAGCCCGCAGACACTTTCAAACAGATTTGCAGAGGGTTTTTTTCAAGAACTACTCAGATGGGATTCTGGGTTTTCTTGGACCTCAAAGATGAGACATGGGGCCCATATGATACCTGTGGATTCGAGACAGATGACCTGTTCTCACTCTGCTTTTTGGCATTGAGAACAAGCAGAGAGAGCTCTCTCCCTGGGTGGGAGGTGTTTTCTAATGGTTAAAGGAAAGTTTTGGCTCCTGGTTCCAAAGTGGCCACATATCACCTTGATTATGTTTTAAAGGATGTGAGTGAAACTATATAATTGAAGAGAAATTGGGTTGCTTTGCTTTTTTTCTTGGGGAAGAAACTCAAAGTGCTCAGCAACTGAAACAATAGATGCCAGAATTAGAGGAGAGTAACAATAAACCTAACTCTGAGAGCTCTGGATGGGGGATGCCTGCCGGCTTTCACACATCATGGAGGTGCCCTCTGTGGCTTGTGAAGCCATGCTGCTGTTAGTCTCCTTTTTGAAAGAAATGACAGACTGCAGAGCACCACATACTTTCTCACCACCACAGTTCAGTCGTGCTCTCTAATCTCAGGTGCCAAGAATGCCAAGCACAGGGTCCTTTCTAGATAAATAGAAGACCAGGTGGGGAAGGGAGGTTGTGTTTAGTAGACGAAATATAGAGTTTGGATGAGATGTTTGTTGAGTGCTTGCCAGCTATGCTGTTTTCAGCAAGTCGCTATCTCTCTGAGGCTCATCTGTAAAATGGAGCTGTTGTTAAAACTTACCTTGCATGAAAAGAAACTAGGATCAAAACAAAGAGACAACCCACCAATTGGGAGAAAATATTTGCAAATCATATATCTGACAAGGGGTTAATCTCCATAATATATAAGGAACTCACACAGCTGAACAATAAGAAAGCGAACAACCCAATAAAAAACTGGGCAGAGGAGATGAACAGACATTTTTCCAAAGAAGATATACAGATGGCCAATAAACACATGAAAAGATGTTCAACATCACTCATCATCAGGGAAATGCAAATCAAAACTACGCTAAGATACCATCTTACGCCTGTTAAAATGGCTATAATCACTAAGATTAAAAATAGCAAATGTTGGAGAGGGTGTGGAGAGAAGGGAACCCTCACACACTCCTGGTGGGAATGCACACTGGTGCAGCCACTATGATAAAGATTATGAAGATTCCTCAAAAAACTAAAAATAGAACTACCATATGACCCAGCTATCCCACTAGTGGGTGTCTTCCCAAACAATTTGAAATCAACAATACAAAGTAACATATGCACCCCTGTGTTCATTGCAGCACTATTCATAATAGCCAAGACATGGAAGCAACCCAAGTGCCCATCAACCGATGATTGGATAAAGATGTGGTATACATATACAATGGAATACTACTCAGCCAGAAAAAAAATACAAATTCATCCCATTTGCAAAAACATGGAGGGACCTAGAGGGAATTATGCTAAGCAAAATAAGCCAGTCTGAGAAAGACAAACACCAGACGATTTCACTCATGTGGAGTATAAACAAGTATTTGGACAAAGAAAACAGTTCAGTGGTTACCAGGGGAAGGGGGGTTGGGGTGGCACAGGGGGTGAAGGGGAGCACTTACGTGGTGACAGACAAGAAATCATGTAGAACTGAAATCTCACGTTGATGTAAACTATTATGAACTCAATAAAGAAAAACCAACTTACCTTGCATGATCACCGTAATGAGTAAAGGAATTGAGGTACATAGACATACGTTGTAAACTATAGTATACTATGTAAACCTTGGTTGTAATTAATGTGATCTATGTAAGAAAAAGTCTTTCATTCTGTTTAAATTTGTCTGTTTCCACACCGTCTTTGGGCAATTTGGGTAATCACTTTGGGCAATTTACCTTTGTGAAATTGATCAGTTCACATTTATTAAGCATATGCTTTGTGCAAGGCCTTGTGCTACATGCTATGGAAGATATAAGGTGACTGGCACATGATTCTCATTCTCTTGGATCATACAAACTAGTGAGCGGTTTAAGACCCTCAAAAATACTTATCACAACCTTTTTCTCCACTCCTTGTAGCTCTAGTGGGGTTGTTGGCGTGGAGCACTCTCCCCTTTTGTCACTTTCTGTGTTCTCAGAGTATTAGTTGGAGTTCCTTGATTTTAAGAAGCAGAAATGAACTCTGGCTGAGTTGAGCAAAAATGGGACTTTGGGTGTGTCATGAAGCTATTAGCAGAATTTACAAGAAGTGTCTTAGGTAACTTCCCTAAAAGCAGAGCATAGGGATTCTGGTGCCCATGGTTTATGAGGGTTTGTTCTTCAGGGAAACTCATGAGGAAATGAGGGAAACAGTATAGGTGAGGGCAGGGAGCTAAGAAAGGATGTGATCTTAGGTAAAATCTACTCTTAGCTTGTCCTAGTCAAGGAGCCTGGAGTTTTGTACCTCCCTATCCGTGCATCATTGGCTGCATTGCGTCATTGGCTTGGGGTGAGGGATACTGAAACCTCTCAGACATCTCTGAGTGAGGTGTCCCAGTCAGCCTAGGGTGATGCTCTGGAGAAAGCTGCAGGTATAGGCTGCGTCTAGTTTATACGTTATAAGCTAGACATAACTTGTACATGAGTAATAGATACACTGGCTGGTAAAGAACATATGGGTAGGGCACCACAGCATCTACTAAAGGAGGTCAAGAAGGTAAGACTCAGAAAAGGTTAA